ATTGCAACAGAAACTAAGGCTATATATCTCCTCCTGTTGTGTGCCTTCCCATTCTATCCCTTCTGCTCTTCAAGGAGGCAGGGAGTGCACCAAGACCTCTGCCCAAATATCCAGCTGCAAACTGCCCAACCAGGACTGCACCAACACTCAGGTCCACCTGCCAACACAGCTGCAATAAACCTGTTTTTTCACCTGCTAATATTGTTTAACACCTCACCTCAGGGCATGTGGGCAGTGACTACCATGTGCATCTGCCTCCCTTGTCCCTGGGGTGCCTAGGCATGACACAGAGGTGCTGTGTCCCACCCTGCATGGTGCCCCCAGATACATCCCTCGGGAGCTGTTGAGCCTTGGCCTGCTTGCCTGGAGGTACAACCAGAGCTAAATCTGACCAGTCACAATCCCTGTATTTCTCTACACTTGTCTGGTTTTTGTATTTCTGAAGGGCACTTACAGATGCACAACTTGACCTGCCAAAGGCCCAAATGTTCTCAGTTCTTAACCTCTGTCTACCTGTGGGGAATTCGGTTTGGCAAGCCTATTTACTTTTAAAAGGATTTTTATACAACTCCGACCTTTTCATTCTGTTAATATTACCTTTCTCAGTACACTTAGCATACACACATAGCTGCCAGGCCAATCACGGCACACAGAAGAACCTATTTTAGTTTAAAACCTTTCTCAAATATTAGGGCAGTTCAGTAGTCAATTATTTGTATTTGAATTTCAGATTATTACTCAAAGGTTATCCGCCCAGGCTCTGTGAAGGGTGACTAGGAACAGTGGGGAATGGACTGACATGAGAAATAAGTACAGAACTGGTCACCCATGGAAGGCACAAGCGTTCCTGACCTACATCCCCGGGCTCTCTGTACAAAGTAGATTCTGCAGCCAGGAGCGGATGTGGACGCAGACGCACGAAAGAAGGAGCCACTTCCCAGATCATCTCTGGGCACTTCCTCACTTCGAAAAAAAAAATTTTGATTTGCTCCTCAACAGTGACTGTACAAAACCTGGTTTTGATGTTATTTCTTTCCTAGTTGGCAAAAAAGAGTTTTCCTCATTGAGAACCAAATGGGCCACTTGAGGGCATTGCAGTGAGGCACTGCACTGGGAATGACCCAGATTCACCTGGAAAATTAACTGGAGGCACTACAGCTCTCTTCTCTGAGCCCCAGGATTCTATTTTGAAGGAAGAAATGTATTTAAAACAGTAATGTGACTATTAGCCAAATAAGCTGATCATAGTACCCTTCTCAGATATGTCCCCTTATCTGATTTGGCGAAAGGCTTTATGCAGTTCATTTATTTTCTGTTCTCAATTTGTGCTACTTTGTATTCATGGCTCTAATGTGATGGTGGGGATATGGATGCAGTGCATTACCAGCATTGCTCTCCCCGGGTCAGTCCAGCACTTGGCTAACAGTGCCATACCTCTGCGGGCCAGACCAATATTGCTGGTCAAGCACAACAACATTTCCTTATTTAGTGATTGTTTCTGATTTTTTTTCCCTGATCCATGGGAGAAGGGGAAGAAAAAGAGAACATGATTTGCTAAATTCAATTGAATGTTCAGATGGCTGGGTCACTCCCTCCCCCTACCCTTCCTCGCGAGCAAAAGAAATTATTTTCACAAATAAACTATTCCCTGGAACAAATCCACTCAGCTGAAATCCAATTAGCTCTACAGACACTGGGTCACAGAGCAGACTCAAAATGTTGACTCATACCCTTAGAAAGTAACACTGGGGTTGCAAACTGTGCCTGTGAGTGGGTCCTTGCCAGTTCCCAAGGCACATGACAAGACTCAGGACAGGAGTGACACAAGACAAAAGCCACACATGCTCCCAAGCAGTGGCCTCCAAAGTGGGGGTGTGCATGAAGCAAATAGTCTTTCTACTGTTACAAAGCTGCAATGAAACACAAGTATTAAAAGTATCCAGAAGAGGGGTGAGCTCTGTGCCCACGACCAGTCCCCTGGAAAACCAAGAGCTGTCACTCAATATTATACATACACATAGTACTAATTCCTGGCTGTGTGCAAAGGTCTGGCAAATCTGCCAGAATGTCAAGAGCTACATTTTCTGTGTACTAAAAAACTAGCATGATTTTCTAGCTGCAGAGCTCCAGAAGATCTATTGTACAAATATTGAAGTCAAACATCCAGCACAGGGAAAGATTTCAAAATACACGTAACCTTTAAAAATCGAAATCATGCAGATGGTAAAATAACAAAGCCACCAAGAGAGATGTGGGTGATTCCCAGCATCTCTGGAAAAGGAAGAAAAGCAACTTCCTGATATGTTTCTCTTACCACAAACAATGGAGGAGTCCCAAGTCTTTTCTGAGCTATCAAACACCAAGCACAATCAAACCAACAGGCAAAGGAACTGCAGTCTCAGAATTAAGTGTGGGTTTGTGCCTCGGACAAAAGAAAGACCCCTCTATGTGAACAAAAACAGCTTCAATCCTCCCAGATCTCAACACAAAGCTGCCTTTTCTAAATTCTCCATACACTAACTCTGCTCTGCTTCCTCCCTCTGCTTGTTACAGAGCTAGATTTTACCACCTCGATTTCCACTATTCATTCTCTCCATCAGGAATGACTGCAAGGAATTAACACCAAACTTTGTCATTTACGTTCTCTCAGCTGCTGCCATCTCCCTTTGCTGAGTGGCTTGTCTTTTGCCTCCAAAAATGATATCCCTGCTTCACAATGGGCAAGAACAATTTTCTGCCTGTTTGATGAATAAAGCACTACCCAAAAATAACATTCAGAGATTATTCTTCTATGACAGCCATTTGTCTTTGCTCTGTGAGTGGCAGCATTGCAACTATAAATGGATGAAAATTCATCCATTTATATTCAGCCATTCCTTGTGTGACCAGGTAATAGAAAAGTCTAAAATATTTACTGTTAAGTGCAAATATATAATTAAATACAAAGCAAGGATTAAATCTATTGTACTTTAGGAGGAATCTGGGTGTGATACACAGTATCTTGGAACAAAAGCTGGTTTATTGTGTTTTTTTTTTTTCATATTGATGCAGATATGTTACCCAGCATTAATATAATTAATTAATAGCTAAAGTGGAATATACAGCTAAAAACACAAGAAATTACACAGATTTCCTTCCAATAGCAAAGCACATTTAACAAAGACGTTTTTGTTTGGGATTGCTATGAGTTAGTAGTGTGAACCCTAGTGTAAATTACTGGTATGTTCAACAAGGTTTTCAAACACTGAGGATTGTTAGTCTCCCTTATGTTGATTGTACAGCCTGTATCAATTTTGTCCCAATCACCATTTTCATCTCTGTTTTCTTGGGACTTTTTATAAAAATAAAGGCAAGCAGATTTGTACACAAAGGCAAAAAAACTCTATTAAAAAACAAAAAAAAAAAAAACTGTCCAGATAGTATGGTATGAAAAACCTACTCAGAGAATTACAGAAAACCTTTTGCTGGTCAAGAGTCAACACAACATTTCAGTGGGTAGATCCCACTTGTACAGAAGATATAACTGTGTTACACACCTTTTTAATTAAATTCTTAATTGCATAAAGAAAATTCAGAATCTTTTCACTACCTTTGAGTCTCCTCTTGTATATTTTCTTTCTCTGTTAGTAATTACTTCTGAATATTGCATCTGCTCAAAGGGGATAGTAGCAGATGCTTTTCTCTGAGTATGTAATGGATAGCAGAGAACTAACCTAAACTAGTTAGAGGAACTCCTGTGTAATAAGTAAAAGAATAATGGTGTCACTGTAAGAATAATTAGATGAAGTAAAGGATCTTATCTAGATCATGCCTACCTGGTGTCCTTGGAACTTTCTTTCCAATTTGCCATTTCTGTTCATTCCTGAGAGCATCACACCTTCCCCTGTGGTCTAATGTCAGTTCTGCCTCTCTTAGTCAGTCTTAGTCTGTTTCATGCAACTGTTTACAAGCATTAAACTCTTGATGTATTTCTAGCAAATTACAAAAACACTGCTGTCAGATGGTTTGTTTCCATTTATCTTAGTAGCATTTCCATGTGTTCTCTGCTCACCCATTCTCAGTCTTCAAGGACTAATTTTAAACTTGGTGAATGCCTAACTCGGTTTGGCCCATTTAATTCCCAAGAAATCAGGCTCTAGGCTGTATCTGTGTGGCTGCTTGCTGCTTCACTCATGCAACCGTTCAGTGACGAACTGGAAATGGGTGTCCCACTGCCAGGCACACTGAGCAGCCCCGGCCCATCGCTGTGGGCCGCCAGGCCTGCGGAGGGCACCGAGGGGCTGCAGCTTTTCTGGGCCTCTGTGCTCGTCTCGGATGGGGCTCGTGTCCCTGAACAAACGCTGAGGTGCTGCTGCCATTAAATTATTCCGCTCACAGCTGCTGAGGAGGACACTGCGATGCTACCCGGTCCCTTCGCACCCCTCCGCCGCCACGGCACCTCACGGCCCTCACAGCTCCTCACGGACCCTCGGGGCTCCTCACGGCCCCTCACGGCTCTCACAGCCCCTCACGGCTCTCACAGCTCCTCACGGCTCTCACGGCAGCTCACGGCTCTCACGGACCCTCACGGCCCCTCACGGACCCTCACGGCCCCTCACGTCGCTCAGCACAGCGGCCCCTGGCGGACAGCGCCGTCCGCCCCTCACAGAGCGCGCGCGCCCCCCAGCGCGCCCCCCGCGCTCCCCTTCCCGCCAATGAGCTGCCCACACGCAGCGGCGGCTCCAGGATGCCCGCGGCAGTCGCCTGACCCAAGACTCTCCGCGGCCGGGCGAGCGGCGCAGCAGTCCCGACGCTTCTAGGGCGGGTGCGGCTCTTCCCGCCGAGCCGAGGGGTCTGAGCCTTCGCCGACGGTCCCACGGTATAGCCAGCTGCTCCGGCACCTCCAGGAGCGAGAAGCAAGGGGCCTCGTCCTCAGGACCTCTCGCCGCGGTGCGTCTGGGAGTTATGGTTCACCTGGCCGCAGAGTCTCCCGGTGTGTCAGCAGGGCGGAGAGGAAGAAAACTACAGCTCCCAGAGAGCAGCGCGGGTGCCGCTGTCATCGTTGGCGCCGCGCTGGGGGCGCGGGCCGTGCTGGCCCGGGAGCGGCGGGGGCCGCGGCGGGGCCGCCATGGATCTGTTCGGGGACCTGCGGCGCATGAACAAGCGGCAGGTACCGGGCTCTCTGCCCTCACCGGCAGCGGCGGATTGCAAACGCCAGCTTGCAGGGTCCTTCCCACCACTGTCCCCGTGTGCTGCCGAGAAAAGGAGCCCAGAATAATGAAGGAGTGTGATTAAAGCGCATCCGCTGCTGTGAGGGCCGGCGGAGCGGGAGCACTGGGGGCAGAAAGTCAAATCAGTGGTTTTCTAGATAAGAAATTTCAGTATGACAGTAGCAGGAAATGATCTTTTGTCGAGTCTCGTCTGCTCCAGCTCCTTTTTAAGAAAAGTCGCTCTCAGAAAGCCAGGCTCTGCTGGTAGGCCGGTGCGGTATTTCCGAGCTCGGCAGGGAGGCAGGGTCGTGTCACCGAAACAGCTCTGATCGTTTGCCAGGGCGCTTCCCCAGCTTTATAAGCCTTTATCAGAGTGTTTGCGTCTGTCACTGCCACACAGGAGCGAATTATCCCAAGACTAAGGCACACTGAGGATTCCAGCTTTATGCTGCAGTTCGGTGGATTCTGACGTGGCAACCTGTGCTACCAGACTTATGTTGGAGTAGGATTTTAACCTAGAATTTGAGGTGGACTTGAGTTAAAGTTCTGTGTTGTTCTTCTAAATACAATACAGGACCTTTAAAAACCGATTTTCTTGTTTCACACAGCTGTATTACCAAGTCTTAAATTTTGCTATGATTGTGTCTTCTGCCCTGATGATCTGGAAAGGGCTGATCGTGGTGACTGGCAGTGAGAGCCCCATTGTGGTGGTGCTCAGGTGAGTCAATGGAAAGGCTTTCTGCTTCAAGTCCAGGAATTGTTTTGCCTTTTGTCTGGTCCCCCTCCTCCTTGGATACAGTTGGAATTTGAAATGTCACCTATTTAAAGAAAGACTCAAACACTCGCTTTCTTCTAGCTGTGTTTGGGCTCCAACAAAAAAAGTCACACTGTCAGTAGCCATGGCCCAGTTCCCACTGAGGTTTGTAGGAGCAGTAGATGTGTGAGACCTTTTGAAATCCAAGTTCCTTCACTTAATGGGTAAACTCCTGCAGATTGCTTCCTGGGATTTGGGTTCTGTTAAAGGTCTGAGCAGTGTAACTGAATGGGTGAAGCTACAGATCTCAGTCAGAACTGTGGATTTATCTGTAAGAATTAAATGTTCTTTGATTTCATGGTGCTTCTTTCATTTATGCCAACAGACTCTCTTTCTTGTTTTTTGTAGTGGCAGCATGGAGCCAGCTTTTCACAGGGGAGACCTGCTGTTCCTAACAAATTTCCATGATGACCCAATCAGAGCTGGTGAAATAGTTGTTTTTAAAGTTGAAGGCAGAGACATTCCAATAGTTCACAGAGTTATCAAAGTACATGAAAAGTAATGCAATTTGGTGGTTTTTTGTTTGTAAAGCTCCTTTCCTTCCCCATGGCTTTCAGTGTCAATTTAATTGTGGTTTAGTGTGTGAGAAAGTCAAGTGAGCATCAGCAGTGAGAGCAAGCTCAGCTGTAGGATGTGATCCGCTTCTGTCCCCAGTTCTGTGTCACACTTTGTGAGGGTCTGAGACCTTTCCCTCAGCGGAGCTGCTCAGGCTTGGAGCAGGTGGAGCTGTGCCCAGGAGGAATCTTGGCAGCAGGAATGTGCGTGGGAGCAGAATCCACATCTGTGCTGTTGGTTGTGCAGTTGGGATTTTGGTTGTAAGATGTAAATTTTTGATGGAAGGTGGAGATCCAGAATCAGGGTGCAGCCTGACAGAGTGTGTGAACTTTGCTAACTGAAGTTTGCCAAATTTGATTCAGGATAAAAGAAGAGACTCTTGTTATTCTTGTGTCTCTTGGCCACGCTGCCCATGACAGTTCTTGCTGAAAGCAGCAGGGAGAGGGCTTGGTTTGGCCTTGATTGCAGATGCCTGCCCTGCCAAACAGTTCTTCCAAACCACAGTTCTGCTCCTAGTTCTGCACAGTGAAAAGCCAAGCTGGAGGTGGCAAGCAGTGATGTATTTGCTCCATGAACTGAAGGTGTTCATGTCTTGAGTAGCATCTGTTCTTCCATGCTTTTTTAAAATTTCCAAGAATTGCTTATTTAATTTTTTTTATTACCTAATTTGTTTTTATGAGAACTCCTCATTTCTTGATATTGGTACTTAAGCAAAATTCATTTGAAGACTGTAAACTTAAGAACTTTATTTGAATTTGTGTTCTGTGGAAGATGCTGATAAACACACAGGATTTGTTGAGGAAGTCTAGTGCCTGGATGGACAATGTCCCTTTCATGTCCATTGTGTAATTGCTTACATCAACTGACAATCTAGGAGTGTTGTAAAAAATGTTTCTTGCTTTTTATCTATCTGTTGATAGATAAAGTCAGTAAAGTCTGTAACGTTAATGATTTAATGGTGGTTGTTCAATAAGCAGGGCTGAAAGCAAACGTTGTTATCTAATCTTGTAGCACTTTTCATCCTCATTTGCTTTGTAGATGTTAATTGAGATTTTTAAATTAAGTGCTATTTAGTTTATCACCTCATTGCCTTCTAGAGGAAATGGGAACATCAAATTTCTGACTAAAGGGGATAATAATGAAGTTGATGATAGAGGCTTGTACAAAGAAGGTCAGAACTGGTTGGAGAAGAAAGATGTTGTTGGAAGAGCAAGAGGGTAAGTAAAGCAAAATGTACTTTGTAATTAAAGAGAAAAATTAGGTCTTAAATCGGTTCTGCTGTTGCTACAAACCAGATCTGATGTATTTTTCAATTTCTTAAATGGAATTGTAATTTAAAAGAAAACCTGGAAAAGTTCCTTCCTATAGTCCTCACACTGATGTGGAGTGTGGGGGGGAAAAAAAGGGCATTTAACAAATAGTTCACCTGAAAATGCAATATTAACCAGCTTCTCCTTGTAATTGCTGGGAATTTCTAGGAAATTGTTTTGGCATTCCACAGAAATTTTATGGAAGGTTTGAGCTTTTGACTTTGTCTCCTTCTCCTTCAGTTGAGCTGAAATCTCTTCAGATTTTCTCAGATAACTTTGATTAAGGAAAACTAATGAATTTTACTTCCTATTCAGATCCCCATTAGGTGTAGATTGTGGGATCACACTGAAATATTCCAGACTGAGTAACATTAAAATACTTCCATGTAATATTTAAGGGTCAATTTTACATTCACCTGTTTTGTCAATTACAGGTTTTTGCCCTATGTGGGAATGGTAACTATAATAATGAATGACTACCCAAAATTTAAGGTATGTATGCTGACATTGTGAATACTTGAGTTGCTAAAATAACAAGTACAGACAATAAGAACCTTGTCTCTAAGCATACATGTTAATAGATTTGTGCCTGTGGTTTGGTATCTAACGTAGGATGAGCTGGGTTTCCTTGCTGACTGTTGGGCAGTAGAATTTGTTGTTTGTAAGGAGTTGAAAACATATCATTTATTAGAATTTTGTTAGTTAAGCGTATGCAGTTGTGATGCCTGGTTATGATGAATTTGATCGCTTTAAAATCTTCCTGCAATTTTGTAGGGCCAGAGCTCTGTAATTGTGCAGAGTGTGATGTTTGAGAGGGCATCTTTTGAGCAGTTTGTGCTTTCAGAGCTCAGTGGAGAGGAATTGTAACGAGTCTGTGTTCTGTGTTTCCTTGCAGTATGCTCTGCTGGCAGTGATGGGAGCATATGTACTGCTCAAGCGGGAATCCTAAACTTGAGAGCAGGGGGAAACACCCAGGGGGAAACAACTAATATATTTCAGATGGTTTCATTTCTGTATACAGTTACAAAACTGTGCAAGCTTTTGTCTTGTCTGAATAAACGACTCCTAATGAGTGAAGCTGTTGGCTGCTGGCTAATTCCAAAATGATGTATTTAGCACCTTCTGCAGACTGCTCTCAGCTAGTCTGGCACTGACTGGGGGGACTGTCGTGCTGGAGCAGCCAAGGGCTCTCCTGCCATGCTGCAGTGGGTTTGACTGGCTGCTGCTGCATCTGATCCCACTTTTTCCCTCCTGTTGGTTTTGGGGGTTATTTTTCATCTGTCACTGCCCTCTTTTCTCCACGATACATACTGTTTTGGTCAGTGCTTGTAAGGACACAGAATCTCTGAACAGGCAGTAAGTTCTAGGAGTTTAGTCAGACTTATGCCTAAGTTGGCTGGTTGTGGCTGCCAAAAACAGCCAGGAAGGGGAGTTGCGCTCCAACTTGGTACTGAGCAGTGGGGACTCACAGCTTTTTCCTTGAATTTGAAATTTGCTCCTTCACGGGTGAGGAAAAAATGCAGATGGCCTGATTTTTAGAGGCCTGGTTTTTAGGGACTGTTTGTGTTGCTAGCGCTCGGGCTGTTGATGATCTGCCTTTTGTGTTCTAGCTCTTAAACTAACCCAACAAAAAGGTTTTCTGGGGCTGTAATAACACTTGTAAATTACTGAATGAATAGCACAGTAGTACACTTCAGAGATATTGCCAAGACGGGGAAACCAGAACTCTTATGCCAGTTTGGAGAATGTATTGTTCTCTCCTATCATATGACAACTGAATAGTGTTAAACATAAAATTGATTTTTCATTTAAAAACTTACCTGATAACTGTCTTTTATGAAATTTGGTATTTTTCTCTTATCTTCAAATGTCAGTGTTGCATTTTCAACAAAGCAGAACTTGTTTTCCTTGCTGGCTTTGTTTTTGTAGCTTTGATAAGGAACAGCATGATGCTTTTTTCCTCTGGAGTTCTGTTTCTTCTGTAATCCCTTACCTCTGCAAAAATACTCTATTATACAATAATGACACCTTTTCTATTGTAACAGCTCATGGTCAGCAGACAACTGCTGAATTTCTCCAAGTAATATTACTTCTTTTGTGTCCTACTAAGCGGTTTTCATGTCCAACTGTATTATAAAAGTTACTTATTTTGTGTCAAATTATATAGACATAAAATTGAGTATAATAAATGGCATGGCAGAATAATGTTGGGATCATTAATGCAGTCTTCCTGGAAGTGTATCATCCCAGTTAAGAAAAAATAATGTGTTTTTTGGAGACAGTGTATGTGGAATAAGATTTTTTTCTTTCTCTTGGTGTTGCTGAAATCCAGATTTTTGCTGTCCACCTACCCTAATGCGAGCACAGTCAGCACAGACTTGGGGAGTGCAGTTGGACATTTTGCAGCTGGCCAGTGTGACACTGGGATCCAGTCACAGGAGTGGCTCAGAGCCGTGCCAGGGGGGATCAGAGTGAATGTCAGGAAGCATTTCCATACTGAGAGGGTGCTCAGACCTGGAGCAGCCTCCCTCGGGAGAGGGTGGATGTCCCAAGCTCAGCATTCCAGGGGCACTTGGACAACACCCTTGAGCTTCTGGGCAGCCTGGAAGGGCTCAGGCTGTTGGGCTGGATGGTCCCTGTAGGCTGTTCTGGTCCACAGGCATAACTGCTTCCCATTTGAATTCTCCAATTATTGAACCCCTCCACCGCAAGAATCATAAACCCAAACTTGTGGCTGCCACAGCAGCCTGGCACAAGTTAAATGTGCAGTGAGAAATCACTGCTTAAGCTTCAACTGTCCAGGACTTCCCAAAGTGCAGCACAAACAGTGTCAACTGTCTTACACTGGGCCTTGTTAAATGAATGTTATTATTTCATATTATTCAGCCTCTGTAAAGTTGTGGAGCTCTTTTCTGAGAAATGTCTTCAGTTCTTCAGGGAGCTGTTGCTGCACTGAGTCGATGTTGAGATTATTTGCAGAACACCTGCCCTGAGTGCGGGTCAGAAATGCTGGAGATTAGTCTATTCAGCATCTCCAACATTTACAGAGTATTCCTCAGTGATCACGCCTGTTATTACGTTGGGGATAGGCTTCCACCAGTGTTTGTTCTGTACATACGTCCTGGCTGCGTGTAACGCCAGGATCCCTACAAAGAAAATGATGAAAGGCACACCATTCTTGTGTTATCCCTTTTTATAGCCATCTAATATGCATTGCTGATAGAACAATGATGCTTGTCTAAAATGTAAAGGAAGTGGATTTTAATCCACAGTGTTGTCGTGGTAATAGCATTTAAGAACCATGAATGTTTTCCTGCCATGAAGCACAGCAACGTTTTGCTTTGCCATGGGGTATATGAAAAAGGGAAGGATATTTTAAAACAGAGAGAGCTGTTTCTTGATGTTTACACACAAATTGATGTAATCAGGCTTCTTCTTAAAGATTGTCTTGAGTGAGTTGAGTCACTCACAGTTCATAACACCCTTTGGTTGTACCTGGTTCCTTTTCTGTTCTGGGGGGTCCACAATAATATTTCTCTATATAATCAAGTTACTATTTTCCTTAGAAGGGTAATCAATTAAGAATTAGAATAAATCCTTATGAACAACTAAATGAAAAAGGCATAGTACATATACAACATATGAGAAAGGTTTATTTGTTTGCATGGTATTTTCAGTACAAGAGATTTGGAACTGAGTAAGAATTCATCTTTGGTGGGTTTTGGTTTTGTTTGCTGAAAATGGACAATGTCCTCAATTTTTCAATTTCCTGCCTTGATTGCTCCAAACAATTAGAACTTTCTCTGGATGGCAATGTTTTATTTGATCAGCTGTCACTCAGCACAGAGCACATGTCAGTAGCTGTACTGTGGGCTGCACAGTGCAACTTGAGGCTTGAGAATACTGTTGTGAATTAAGCAGGAATGCATAATTAATAACCAAAATAAAAGAATGAATCACATTAATCAGTGAAAGAAGATGAAACAAACTGTGACTAAACAAGGGAACAATTTGGCTCAATAGAGCAGGATACAGGATTTACTTCAAAAGGAATTGTACAAGATTTTGCCTGGAAATTATGTTAATTCACATCCGTGTGAGTTTCCAGTAGTAGGGATAGTTCAGTTCTGTCATGTGGGGCTAGCTGGAGGAGCTGGCAAGTTCCTTACAGTCAGCTCTGCTCTGTGTATCCCAGCTCCTGCCATAGTTCTCTAGACAGCAAAATCATCGCATTACACGTGGCTTCATCCTGTCCCTGCTGTTCTCCTGGCTGAAGTCCTGTAAATGCGCATCCACTTTACTGTCACTTGTGACTGGAAATTTAGGAGATACTGGAAATTACAATAAGCTCTTTACACCAGACTTGCTGTTCCAGCGAGGGACAGGGAGACCCTTTGCCCCAAGTGCAGCCGAACCGGAGCCCGCACGGTGCGGTCCGGCAGGATGGGGGTGACGTCTCCCCCCGCGGCTCCCGGGTCCCCTCCGCGGCTGTCGCCGCCCTCCGAGGAGCTCCGGTGCCCGGGCGCTGCCGGCAGCACGGCCCCGAGGTGCCCCGGGCCGCCCTCGGCGCCGGCCCCGCGGACGGAGCAGGGGAGCACGAACTAGCGGGACGCGGCCGTACTGCGGAGGGAAGCGAGAGAGAGAACGGCCCCCCCGCCCGGGGCAGCGCCCGGGCCGGCACCGCCCCGGCTCCCCCCGCGGGCGGAGCGGCCCCGTGAGGAGGCGTCAGGCGCGGGCTCCGCTCGGGGCCCGGCTCCGGATAAATGGAGGGCGGCGGCGGCGGCCCTGGCGGAGCCGGAGCGGAGCGCGGCACCGGCGGCACCGGCGGCAGGGCAGGATGCGCGGCGGGCGGCCCGCGGCGCTGCCGCTGCTGGCACTGGCGCTGCTGACGGCGCAGGGCGGAGCGGCGCCCCTGCAGCCCGGCGGGACCCCCGCGCTCACCAAGATCTACCCCCGCGGCAGCCACTGGGCTGTGGGTAAGTGCGCTTTAACTCCTACAAAGGCGCTGGAACGCGCGGTTCCTGCGTCCCGTGTCCAGGCAGGGTAAGTCTAAAACCTCAGCTTCTCCGTCCCCTTTTATTCCAGCGAATCTTAGCAAGAGCCTCTCTCTGTCTCCAGACAAAGCTCTTGGTAATCGCTGCCCCTTTCTCAGCCACTTTTTCTCTGACCATTTAACACAAGAGACAGAAGAAATTAATACACTGACAATATCTTCACTCCCAGTAATGCTACAACTCGACATCATCTATCCCTTCCCTTCCCTTCCCTTCCCTTCCCTTCCCTTCCATCAGTAGCAAAGTCCCATTGATGTTTGAACAATCAAATTTTTACCCGTTTTCGTTAATTTTGTGCTACTTTAATTGTTGATACAGGACATTTAATGGGGAAAAAAAGCACTGGAGATTTTCCTTATGGTTTTGAAGAAGAAAGCAAGACACCATTTTCAGCATTACCTGACAATATCAAGCAGCTGGAAGAGTATCTGCAGTGGGAAGAAATCTCAAAATATTTGCTAAGGCTGCTAGAAAGGAATGAAAATAAAAGTCACTATTCAAAAGGAGGGCTCCCCTGGTATACCAGGAACACCTGGGAGACAGATGACAATAGCAGTTGGAAACATGTAAGTAAGATAAAACCTGTAAAGATACTCCATGTTTTCAGTTTTTGGTTTACAGTAGCATATCAGCTGGTGGATTGTCCAGAAAAGCAGCAGAAAACATTTCATGTATTAGACATTCAGTACAGTAAGACTCTGCCCTTGATTGCAGATTGTCACTCACCGACTGTATTTTTGATGACTTCATTTGCTAGTGGGCATAAACACGGCATGCATTCAACAGATTTTAGTGCCTGGGCTCCTTCAAGCTGCTTGGTTGGGGCATTTTCTCCTTTTCTTTTTCTTTTCTTTTCTTTTCTTTTCTTTTCTTTTCTTTTCTTTTCTTTCTTTTTCTTTTCTTTCTTTTCTTTTTCTTTATGCTTAGGTGATCACATCGGCAGCAGATATTGCCCAGCAAAGCCAAGCTGGTGTGAAAAACAAGTGTGAGGGCAGGAGGAACAGCATCACACTGACCGCCCCCTTCCATCACCCTTCAGGATGTTCTGCCTTGGGCTAAGTAAAGCCACAGGGCTGCAGAATTTTCTCTGGTGCCAGCTTTGTCCCTGTTTCCTTTGCCTTTTCTCCAGCCCATGGTGCTGGCTACTGCTGTGGTCATTCCTGGGTTTGCTAAAGGAGTCTGGGGTTACTGATAAGCTGCCCCTCCTCATCCCTCAAGCTGATGTTCTTCCTAGTGCTGTTGCACAAGACAACAAGGTTTGGAACAGATTAATCCCTGTTATTTTGGGAAATCCTATAAAATACACTGGGAAGGATAACTGAGGCTTTAAAGAAAGTAGTTGGGGTCTAATGTAAATCACAGCGTCCTCAAGAAAATTCCTTTTCTTATATCTCAGGCACAGTCATGGTGATAAAGCTTCAGAATTCTTTCGGGTGACAGTGAAATAGAATAAAAAGATTAATACGCCCCCTTAAAGACATTAATGGGAAGAATTTTTCCTTCCCGTATTCTACTGCAATATGATGTCATTAATATTCCTGTGCTAACTTTCAGCCTGGTTTCCCTCCTGAAATCCTGGTGCAATCAAATCAATGAATACTTAGGCTTTTATTTGAATGTGGGTAAAAATTCACCCTTTAAATTAAGCTGTGATTTAAATCTCTCACACCAGTGATACGAATGCTGCCCATAGGTTTCTTTTTGGCTGTAGCTTTATGATAGTGATGCATCATAGTAACTGATTATTAATACTGTCTAAAAGAGAAACTATTTATTCCATCTCCAGTTCTGCAGTGTGCAGCTTTGTAATCAAATTAAATGAACAAATTCCATTATTTAATGTAAAGAGGGAAATGTTCTGACTTCTAAAAGTATCTGTCAATAAATCCTACTTAGGAAGGCTGGAAGTTGCCTCCGGTAAGTTGAATCATATCCATATATGTGTACTTTCACCGTAAATTAACATCCGCATTTCTGTGGTCAGACATTGAACATCCTTATGGAATAATGAGGTTATTGCCTTAACCATCCAGATTTCTGCAAGGATTAGTAAAAAAAGCTCATGTTTTTCCTGTGACTAAGATAGAAGACAACTTGCAGAACCTCATTTGGCCATAGAACTTTTGATGTCCATCTTTCA